ATTCAAACATCATGAATAGACATTTGTGCTCTTGGGTATTTTCAATAATTTCCCTTTAAATCCCTCTCTTTGTGCTCTTGATTTGATATCTGTTGTAAAGCTATGTAAACATTCATCCTGCCATCTCTTAAACATTATTGGCTCGAATTTGTCTTATTATTAGAGGTATCAAAACATGTAGATCAGTCCAAATTGGTCCTCCGAATGTCACAAACGAACTGTTAGCTTGTCTCAAAAGTGAGATAGTCGGGCTTCATTTGGGCTAAACTCGATTTGGCCTCAATTTTATTTTTAACATCATATTTTATAAGATTCACAACTTTTCAATTATAATTTTTTTTTCAACTTTTTTTCAAATTTCCTTAAATTGATTTTTAGCCAGTCAGGGCTTAGATGCCATTTCGTATGGAGAGCCAATCTGCTGTATGGAGAGGCAGTGGGCCAACGAGTTCTTTTTACTCGACTGGCCTAATAGGTTTGAACTGGTACAGCTGTTTTAAAGTCATACCAGTATTTTTTCATTTTTGAAGCTTTGAACTTATCATTTCATCTTGGTATCAGTGTTGAGTACTTATTCGAGAGATTTGCTACATGTACACTCCCCTCACAAGAGGGGGGCCCACGGCCAATAAAATAATCGTGAAGAGGGGGACGTGTACACGGGAGTGCACATGTAGCAAATCTCTCGGATAAATCTATTTTTTAATATTTTTTACAATATTGTTGACAATGTTATAAGGAGCGAAAATGTATTAGTTGAAAAGATAAATTATTTTTCAAACTATTCAATATGTTGTCAATAATATTGTACGCCAAAAATGATTAGGGTTCAGCCATTTTGGAAACACCAACACTGTCCTTCGACATTATTTGCTGATGTACAAGTCTTCTAGGCAAACTTTTTAATTCGAATACACGTTTCCCCTTTTAAAAGAAATATGACTTTTTAATCACACATTCTTCAAAAATTATTATTACGAAACTTTTTTTTTTGGTAAAAATGAAAGCAAATTGATTATAAATATTCGAACTGTATTTTTAATTATACATTTCAATAAATTCACATAAATTATCTACTTATTCATCAATTAGTTAGGTCTATTTGTAAATTAAACAGTTTATAAATTCTTATTCAATGCT